GCGCCCGTTGGCACGCCCGTACGGCGAGCTGGGCGAAATTGAGCGTGGGGTCTGTTGTGAATAATACTTCGTCCGGCTCGCTGTCGGTAGGCTTCCCAACGGGAATAGGTGACGACTGGTGCGGTGATAGCAGAGATGGGCGGCGGGCAATCAACTGCGGGGCGAAATGGACGATGAATGTGCGGGCGGCGAGGATGTTTCCGTTTTGCAAGTATCTGCGATCGTAGCGGATGAGACGCGGCGGGCGAGAGCCAGGCGAGACCGCCGCTTACGGTATGATCCCCCGCAGCGCAAACGACCCCACGGGGCCATCGGGGCCCACCCACCCGACGAACATTTCAGCAAGTACGTGGGCGCTGTCCCGCTTTCCTGCCGCAAGTAGGTGTGGCTCTGCGGCGGCGAATTTACCCTCTGGGCAAGTCCGAATCCCAAGGACCCGATGAGCGTCGGGACGTGCGACGTGCGAAGCGAACGCACCTTTGTACAGAAGCTCTCCGACATAGTGATGAAGATCAGGGTCGCCAGCGGGATGTGGCCCAACTTTCGCGGACCAGCTGAACGATGTCAAAGGGTGTCCGCCAAAGAATTTGCCTGGAGTTCTTACGCGATGGCCTTGTCAATGATGCTCTTTCGCCAGGAGCCAGACGGGCCCGTCAGTGCGATCAGCTGAGTGAGGCGACCTGTAATTCCAGGTCAAACCGGAAGGAGTATCCAAGATAGCAATATGAAGGCACTCACCTCGGCTCTCCGCGTTCACAGGCTCGCCTTTGGTCTCGTAAACATCCAGGAGGAACGAGGTTAGGTCGGTCCCACTCCCCTGCTGCCCCACTTTGAGCAGCTCTCGTGCCGACTGGAAGAGGACGTCGATGGCGGTGTCGTAGTGCCCAGACTTGTTGTACCGCGAGGCGAATGTCCGCGCTTTCTGGTGCGCTTCGTACGGTTGTCCAGAGGCAATCAAAGGCAGAATGGTCTCGAGGGCGCGTGTAGACGAAGTTGCCCTTGCAGGAGGCATTGTAACGGCTAGGTTGGCGTGTTGTCGGCGCACGAATGTCGCTTAGATGTAAGAAATGTTCTGCGGATGCGTGTACTCGAGTACGATGCCGAGGGAAAGCAAGTCGATGCTATCGTTGTTCTCGGTAACACCGCGAGCTGCCGGACTTACCGGCGCTTACCGGCTAACGCGCTCGCACGATGGGCGCTTATGGGTGATATGCCAGGCGCCTCTCGGCTAGATTCGTCCTGAGTCCTGACCACATTTACTACCGTAGTGACCTTGCACCACGCGGATCTTGCACACCTCCACATTGTGCACAGGGTATCTGGTGGCAATAGTGCGTGCGGAGAATTCCTTTGTGATCTTGTATTTTTCTCAAGGAATTCTTCTAGCTCTGGGTAGCCGCTGAGTCTAGGTCGTCTCCTGTGGATTAGGCACTCTGATTGCGCACTACGCTCTCAACACAAGGCGAAACGTGTCCACCCCGCGTCGTCCTCATTTTCTAGCGGAATTAAGAGCATCTGCGCAGGATCCGCTTCCGCTTAGCCTGCACTATTGTTTCTATTGTCTTCAGACCGACCCCCGGACCATCGTACCCCCTCGGACGCCGTCTAAACCGCCAGGGGCTCATCTCCGCGCCATGCCCATCTGCACAAGCTGCGCCCAGCCCACGCCGTACCTATACACGGTCTACAGCTCCGCATACAACTTCCGGCTGGAACAGTGCGTCAGTCTCTCTGCATTAAGCCCGTTCGAGCTTCATGCAACGAACCCGGCTTGTTCGGATGAACGACGCTAATCTGAACTTCGCCCGCACCGACTCCTGAACAGACCGCCTGCCACGCGTTTGCGGACCCATACGTTGAGCATGACACGCTCACCCTCCTTCTGGATCTGATCCTGCTCAAACGGGATGTATATCGCCACCTTCTCTATAACCGAGGATTGGGCGCACGCAAGGCAGGCGAGAAGGCGCCCACAGACCCGGACGGGGCTACCGCCCGAGGTCAGCAGCGGCACAAGGAGCTGGTACGTCTCTCGCGGCAGTCGGCCGTAGCATCTTCACTTAGTACCTCGATTCCCTAGGACCGTTGGTGGCTCATCGTAAAGCTCGGGGCGGCCCTGATCTGCGTTGATGCATGTGAGTTCCTGATCACCTCGTACTTTGCGCGCAAGTGGACGGAAGCTCACTCGCGCGACCAGTCATTCGCTGGACACACATCAGTGAGTGCACCGCGTTCTAAGAATCGTAAGTTTGGCATACCAGCTGACTCGCGCTCGGGCAGGCGCAAGCCAGCCCGGTGACACATCTTCAATGGCGACTTGGAATCGCGCCGCAATTGAAGGTTTCTTCCGCATCCTCGTGGGCTGTCTCTTCGGTATGTTGTTATAATTAGCGTTTCCTTTCCCTTTCCCCCACCGCCTCCCCGCTCTTTCATTCTTCGTTCAATTAAGGCACATGTCTAATACCAGCTGTCATTGGCTCCGCAGAAACAGTCGCTTTTCACGCTGGTGTCGTGCTCGCTTGCTATGCCGTCCTAAGGCTTCTCCCAGAGACCGGGGGGTCCGTGTCGGGCATCCGGGCGCAGTTCAGGTGCGTCTGCGACGATCTGCATTCGCCTCATTTTCGCGCCGTGCGAAACGTCGCGTCCGAGCAAGAGGACCATTCCATCCGTCTGAGTGGTCCATGTCTTGCGACTCTATCCTTGGCGCCCTCCGAGTCCGGTGGCACGCCGCTGCGGCATTAGAGTGAGGCGATGGTACTGACGCTCTTCGATCGCGTGCAGATATTCACACATCCCGCTGACCCTGTTCTACTCGTCGCTCACGAAACTCTTTCTGCTCTTCTGTCTCTCGGTGTGGCGCCCGGACTCGGCCAAGGCCGGCTTCGACACCGACGTCGCGCATCTCCAGCGGCGCGACCTTCACCCGAATGCAACGCCATTCACCCACCCGCTCGTCGTGCGTGCGCTGGCGTTACTCGACGAAGACACGCTTGACCGCGAGTGGGTCGTTCGGAACGCGCTCGGCGGGATGGCCGCAGGCTTCGGGCTGCGAGGTAAGAAGCCCGTAACTTCTCGACGAGACAGCGGGGCTTATTACTCGAGACTGTTTACTGTCGCCGTTGCATTCATTCCAGTTGTGCTGGACTGCCATCCGGGGTTCACGACGATGATCATCATTGCAGGATGGCTTGTGAAAACAGCCGTGGCGAACCTTGTCAGTCGCTGGGTGGGCACGGGCCTCGGTGTCGACGATAAAGCCGCCGGCGAGATGTGGTTGGCGTACAGCATCCCATAACCATTATTGAGCATCGTGACAATATCCGAAGTATCGCAAGTCGTTTATCGTGTAAAGGTACTTATAAAGGAAGCGTCAGTGCGCGAATAGGGTAAATGCCGGGGGTCTGGTAGAACCACTCAAAGGACGTCGGTTACAGAAGGACGACCAATGGCACGCCACTCTCTCCGGTATCCCACCGGTGGACAATGCATGAGGCTTAGAGGATGAATGGGAACATGGCTTTCCGGTTTGCGGGGTAGTCCTTCCCGAATTCCTTCTTGTAGTTCTTGTGCTTCTTGAGGGCCCAGACCACCATTTGGAACGTGCCTACCACCAAGAAGAGCCATGCTGGTGGAGAAAGGCAAAGGCAGTCGCGCGCATGTCAGCGTCTGCGACCAACCTTAGCCGCATGAGAGCGAGGTGAAAACTCACCAGCATAGCTCCCGGTCATGACAGCGATGGCCGTCCAAGCCAGCGTCTCGAAGAAGTAGTTCGGGTATGACACGAGCGAGAACCCGTACCCCTGCGGGATCGCACGCTTGGTCGAATCTGTAGAGCGCAGGTTGCTGAGTGTGAGGTGCGTCTTCAGGTTTGACAGCTCGGCGAACTATTCAGGTCGGCCGGGGGTCACGGTCATGATATATGAGGGAAACATTTACGACGGGGAGGGTAATGAAGACGCACCAAGAACAGCCCCAGGCAGGCCCAAAGGAAATTGGGGTTCTCGCGGATGGTGCCGCGGATGTACGGAGAGTTGGCAGCGAAGGTCGGGCTATACACTGAGTAGGCGAGGAATAGCCCAGAAAGGATGTGGTAGTGCGCGGAGCTGGCACGAAAGACGCGTCAAACCGCGCGCCTACGCGTGTAAATGTAGCCAGGTACTTACTTCTTGAAGATATTCCGGAACGGCATGGTCCCGTGCGAGAAGCGGTGGACGAAGAGGGTCTCGAGCTCGCGTTTGAGGAAATGAAGCATCACGGCGCCGTACACGTATCTGAGTTACGCCCAGAGTGAGTAAGACGCCGTGCACCCAGAGAGTACATGGACTCACTTTTGCAACACGCTGTGCTGGACGGGCCCCCCAAAGAACACCTTCGGGAAGTGGTAGATGAGTGGGTGAATGACGAGCGGACCTGCCTAGACGCGTCACGGCGGCACAAGACACGTCAATGCTGCATCGCGTCGCTACGAGATGGAGACAGGACGCACATATTCGATGAGGTACGTGGTTCTCCAGCCAATCTGGGGACCGAGGTCCTTCACAGTCACTTCGGCACCGTCCACGATACCTGCGTCTTTCAGGGTGACATTGTCAGCCAGTGCCTTCTTTTCGCCCTTCAAGGTGAGCTTCTGGCGTGAGGGGTAAAACTGCAAGTGCAAGTGAATTGTCGGGGTAACGCAGCAGCATGATGCAACTTACCTTAGGACTCTTCGCTGCAATAGCTTTCTTGAGATCCCGGACAGTCTGCTCTTCCGCAGGTTTGTCGAAGGTGATGAACGTGGGCAAATCGCGGGCAAGAGACGAGGGCTTGGCCGCGGAAACCTTGACAGAGACCATCCTGCGAGACGGAGCAGAGCTGTAGGCACAGACAGCGGCAGACGTGATCAAAAGTGGTCAAAGTCCAATGGAGGCAACGATTGTGGTTGGTGGCGTCAGACCTCAATAGGGGAAGTCCGAGCACGTTGACATAGTCATATATGATGGTATGAGCGATCTCTCAACGAACCCTTGGCGCAGTGGTAGCGCGTATGATTCCAGTTGTGTGATATCCTTTGGTACGATCAGCGGGTGTCCATAAGGTCGTCCGTTCAATCCGGGCAGGGTTCATTTTCGCATCCCATCTCACTTCTTTTCGCCGTACCATACAACAATTAGTGAGAACGTGGTTTCTTTTAGCACATACGCCTCCGTCGAGAACCATGGGTATATTTCCGTCGAAGAATCAGGAGTGTCCATAAGCGAGCTCGTTCTCGGCGCAAATGCTCCTATGTAGCTACTAGTATACGGAGTAAGCGCTCTCGAGCTCGTTTAGCGGCACATGGTAGGCTGAGACGGCGAGTCGGATACCTCGGACTTCTTCCACCTCCGCTGTTCAGTTCTTTGTTGCGCGCCATCTGATTTGTTTCAAAGCCAACCGACCACTCCATGAATGTCACTCGTCTTATTGGAAGCAATCTCTCTGTTCTTCGTGTATCACCTCTAGCCATAACCTTGACAAGAGGACTACATTCAAGACGAGAAGCCTTGCCTACACCACCAGCACTCACGTCCATTCAAAACGGTTCCGACAGTGCAGAAGCGAGAGGTTGGATAGAACAGTTTCAAACGCGAGAGATTCCCAGAGGCTTAGTAGAATTGACGTTCTCGCGAAGCTCGGGACCGGGAGGGCAGGTGCGCATCTTAACATGAACATTTTATGTTCTCTGTACACCTAGTACAGACTCAAACGACAGAACGTTAACAAAGTCAACACAAAAGCGACGCTAAGATGTCCAATTGACGCGTCCTGGATACCCCCATGGGCGCGCGACTACATCAAGAAAACGGTGCGTATCTTACGCGCGGTCTGGCATTTCCGTGGCATACTTACCCCGCCCAGCCCTCATACGTTTCGTCATCGCAATCCATATTGCTCACTTCCACTGTGCACCGTTCACAGGCCCAGAACGTGCAAGACTGTCTTGTCAAGGTGAGTGCCCTTGGCGCCGGCTCCGAGTGTGATGTAATGGCCCACGCCTTCGATCAATGCAGTTGCATACTTTGGTCGTGTCCGCCGCTTCCGCGGGGCTCGTGAACGAACCTTCTGAGGAGCAAAAGGCACGGGTACGCTCTTTAGAGAAAGCGGAGAAGGCACGTCGACGTTTGGATAAAGACAAGCGCGCCCAAGTCAAGCGGGGCCGCTCGGGAGGGCGCGATTGGGATTGAGCCGATGCATGCGTTGTTCCTCCTGCTATACTTACAACTAGCATCGACGCATGGCAAGACACCCGAGGCTTACTTGAATCCTGTGGCAGCGCGGACCCGCAGGACACGGTAGGGCATGGTGGGTGGTCTGGGATCGTGACTGGAATGATTCAGTCCGGCACGACGATCCGTCCCGAGGGCAGCGACGGTGGAGTAGGTCAATTAGGGACAATCCATGCTCCTCGCTCGGCCGACGAAGTTGCCAATGGTATATGTTGGAAAGCTCCTCTTTTGACGGCTCTCCATCGCCAGCCTCCTCAGACCCCGATCATGTGACGTACATGGCGATCGGGGAGCTGCCCCAACGTCGTCAGCCTCCGTCCCCGCCCACAAAAGAATCTGCTCGAGCACTTGGGTACGTTTACCTGTAGCCACCACCTCCCCACCCCCTGCGTTCGCGAGAGATGCCTTTCCGCCAGACCGACCCTGTCGACCCCGCGGTCCCCGACCCCAATTATACCTTCGGCGCGGCACCTCGACCTCCATACTTCACCACTATCAAGGAGGACGTCTATGCGGCGCTCCTCGAGTATGTCGGCACATCTTTTTTCCTCTTGCTTGCATACGGTGGTACCCAGGCGGCCCAGAACGCAGCATCGGTGGTTGAGCGCGACATGTACATCTCGCTGTGCTTTGGTTTCAGTCTCCTCACCTCAGTATGGCTCTTCTATCGTGTGACTGGGGGCCTCTTCAACCCCAACGTCAGCCTCGCGCTCCTCATTACCGGCGTTATAGGCCCCGTGCGGTTTGTGCTGTACTGCATAGCCCAGCTCTTGGGAGGTATCACGGCGGCGGCAATCGTCCTCGCGCTGACCCCAGGACCTCTGGCTTCAAAGTGAGTACTCCTTGTTTATGGCTCTCGGTAATGTGACATAAACCCCTTCCAGCACTTTTTTGGCACCAGGGGTCAACCGCGCGCAAGGCGTCTTCATTGAGATGTTCATCACCGGCGCGCTGGTCCTCGCAGTCCTCATGCTTGCCGCGGAGAAGCACTCCTCGACGCCATTCGCACCGGTACGCGATGCCTACCCTTCGAGCGGAGCCAAGCTAATCGAATGTTCAGATTGGAATCGGTCTCACCCTCTTCGTTTGCCATCTGTAGGTCTTTCGTGTTTCTCTGCGCAACCCGTGTTTCCAACGCAATCCATACTGTAGCTGGGCCGTGTTCTACACCGGAGCTGGGAACAATACGGCGCGTTCCTTCGGTCCGGCAGTCGTCACCGGCTTTCCTTACGACGGCCATTGGATAGTAAGCTGCGCACTTACTATTACGCATGAACATCGCTCACGCACGCGCAGTACTGGCTTGGCCCGTTCCTCGGCTCACTCCTAGGGTCCGCATTTTACACCGTCCTGAAGCAGTACGTGCTCTTTGACGCCGTCGGCTACAACCATGTTTTGACCCTCCCCTCCCCACAGCATCAAGTATTGGAGACTCAACCCCGGCCAGGACACCTGCGACTTCCGCGATTCGCCCGCCGACCCGGTGCATCACGTCAAGTCTGCCGTTCGCCGTTCGTTCTCCTCCGCGAGTCGTGGCCGATCTCACAGCGCCAACGAAGGCGACGGTCAGACGTCACAGCTGAGCGAGAAACCCGTAACCTCTCACGAGAACAACCTCGCCGTTCCCGGAGAGCCTTCGAGAGGTCGGCGGTTGAACGATAGCGCCGTGTGAAGGCGAGCGCATGTTAATGTACTTAATGACCGTTACGAAGAACGTCTACGATTTGTCATGACTGTATCGTAGAATTCCCCGTTACGCATCCACATCCATATATTTATGACGAACTTCAAGCTAGAATTCAGGACAACACACTAGAAGGAAATCATTATCTCACTTAGGAGGGTGGATGGCTGAAGCTCTCCTGGAGTCCCACACGCTGCGCGTAAACGCATTTCCTCACGGTGCGGGTCTGTAAATCACCATCTCACCAGACGCAACATTCTCGTACTTGCAGTCTACTGAATGACGCGTCGGTCCATCTTTTGTCGTTTTCGTTTGAGCGTACGAAGTTGTCATCGTAGTTTAGCCATGGTTCCATATATGTTGATGCTCATCAAGCAAAATTGTTAATACTACGAATACATTCTTGAGGATGTTCAGAGATGTTAGAACAACCCCGGTGCGATTGCCGCATAACCTGCAGGCACTCGGGGTGAAGAATGCAACTACGCGCATTCAAAGCTATCGGCGCTGTTAGGGTCACCGCCACGGTAACGTATGGTGGAGGGATACTGCCATATATGCGCGGTATGTCAGCTCACGAAGACCAGGAATTCTGAAATAGGATAGCGTACTCTGCAAAGTGGGCGAGTGAAGCTCACGCCGTTCGCGGCGTCGTTATCTTTATAGTTTGCAGCGAGTATAGTGTCGGGAGCGACGCCTTCTTCAACCCAGCGGACCATCGCGGCCAATATGTTGTGCTCTGGATCGAAGGAGATCGGCGGGTTGTTATTGGAGGCCTGCTCGACTGAGCCGAACGCATTCGCAGCGAAGCCGCCCTAGTGTAGGGTAACGTGAGGACACCTCTCGCATATATGTTATAGATGACAATCGGTTCAAACGTACGTGGCTGGAGATGGAAAAGTTAGACACAGGATAAAGTGTTCGAGGAACTCGGGTCTTACCAATGGTTCATGCCAGGGACGAGGAAGAGCCGGTAGTAGTCGTCAATGTCCATCGTGGTGTTCGCAAGCGTGAATTGGTGAACGGTCTCATAATAGTGGATACTATTGCCCGGACTGATCAGCTGGTCCGCCCAGCCCACGTACTGCAGGAGTTTGCCGTTGTGGGACGGTCCCGCGAACGCGGTGAGGTTAGTGTTGATGGCCTAGCCGAAGTTTATAAGCGCCCCTGCAAAGAAGAAGGCTCCAGGAGGGCCTACGTTTGCCTGGCCAGGGTTTATTTTGTCAGCCTTTGCAAGTACTTTAGCATCATAGTCGTGAATCTTGAAGTCGGTGTCACTAAATGATTGACAGTATGAGCGCTCGTGGGAAGCCTTTGCAGCGAGGTAGAACACGCGTACTTCAGAACCATGAATCCGAAGTAGTTCTTCCCAATATCGAATTGTTTCTTCCCAACCAAGCCCTTGTAATATTCGGTCTCGCCACCAGGGTAATAGCCGCCAAAGACGTATGTCTGATCAGCCTCATAGTAGTCGGCGTATATCCTGTGCAGGGCGTTGATCTGGCTGGCTGTCAAACAAGTCGATGCATTCTGCCCTGGGCGGCAAGTCAGCGTTTCCGGGCGGAAGCTAGATGAGACCGTAGCTCAGTGAGCGAGGCGCACTCCGCCCAAGAGGGGCGACGTAACACACCTGCACATCCTAGGATCATTGATAATTCCGTCCGTGAGCTGTCATCGGGTCAGCACACGACACGCTACGCCGTACTGGGCGAGCGCCCGGCATCGATGTGGACTTACACCGTCCAGGGCATCGCACTGTCGCATGACCTCCGGTGCGAGCACGTTGTTCCACATGTCCTCCGTTATGAAGTTCGGCGACGTCGACGGCTGTGTGTTGAGGTTCATGTGAATCGACCATGCCTGCAGATGAGTCTGCCAGTTCGCCGGCGACCCCACGACCTGTAGCGCGGAGAAATGAGGCACCGAAGACGCTGTCAATACCGTACACAACTTACGACGCCATCGAAGTCGTCGGGAAAGTCTTGCACTTCCTTTAGTCTAAATCCAGCGTGCGGCGTGAGCACAGTCGCGGTAATCCCGAGCGCTGCACGACGTACCCCTGGCGGCCCCCTGCAACGCGACAGGAAACCCGGATCGTCAGTGATAATACTACGACCCGAAGAGAGATGGCGCCATACCAGTGGAGCATCCCAGATAGTACGACGTATTCGCCGAA